CCCTATTGAAGAAGACCATGGCAAAAGGTGGCCTAGACTCAGACGCCTGATTTTGATTAGGACTCCTAGTCCCAGACTCCTAGACTCCCATAGTCAAGGGTCAAGTCCAACCGGCTACCAATAAGAAAATTGGAATTTGGAATCGAGCTAGCTGCTAGATACGGGTATTCAACATTGAAAACAATGCCAATGTATATAGTTGGATAGTTTATGTTTATATAGTTTGTTTATTTATACTTTTAGAATATAAATTCAATAACATAGATATGGACTACTATACTACACTACATTACATTCTACATTACACTACCCTACACTTTCAATAAATATGCTGTATGTCCCCAACATCACAAATCAATGGCAAATGTTTTTCCCCCTTGACAAACATGTTCAACAATCCCCTCAACACAGAAAAAGTATGAAAGCTAAATAACTATATAAATGCGCCTGCCTAGTGACTTGGTGGTTTAAGCATGGCATGCACTCTCGCAAAGCACGATCTCCGTCAAAACGATTCAGCTTGAAATGATAAAGGCGATCATTTGCTGTCGCCGAGTCGGTTTCTTGGAGCAAAATCTGTTCCCCTGCTGTTTCAGCAATGAGTCTCTCAAAAGAACGGATGGTGTGGAGCATTGGGTGGTTGGTGGTGGCATAGTATAGCTGTGGTGCACTTGGTGTAAGAACTAGCAGTGGAGGAATCACCAAAGGCATGCACATCATTTTCTGTTCGCCCCCGACCAACCAACAAATCACAAGGTAGTGGTGGACCACACAAATTTGGGACACAGCCGTCTCGTTTCCAAACCCCAAATTGACTGTGACCTTGTGACCGGTCTCATCAAAAGCCTCTCGCATAGCAAAAACAGTGGGTGGATTCTTCTTGCAAAGTTTGTACAAGTTCGCAAGGATGCGAGCCTGTCTTGCCATGACGGCACATGCAACCGTCATCTGCATTGTTGAAACTGTCCGCGGGCCCATCTCCGATGAAACAGCCAGAGCATTACGCTGTTTGATTCTCTTTTTGTTGGAAAGTTTCCCAAAACTTGTTTCAAGAAAGTCAGTCATGGAATAAGAACTGACAAACCGATTCCCCTTCCCAGATGCTTTAACCGCTGCAGCATTGATCAAACCACGCTTGGAAAAAAGACGTCCCCTCCTCAAAATGCGCAGCCGCATTCCATCACCATGCTGACTTCGCTTTTGCAAAGAAGTCAATAGTTCCAAAACACTACATTCATTCAATGCAAGTTTCTTCTCCGCTTTCTTCAGCTGCAATCTTAGGGACCAATTTGTGCGTTCTTCCTTTGTCCCCTTGGAGTACATGCTACCTTTATTGACTCTAGCGACACCGGCTTTGAGTTGTTCTTGTCTCTTCCTAAGACGTCTCAACCCCGTTTTTTGGATAGAACAGATTCCCCTGCTCCGCACACTAAAGGGCATTACAGGAAGGCCATCATTCTGCTGGTTCAGATTCTTGTCCTGGTCCACCGTAGCCACACGTGCCTCTGCCACTGCTAAAGCACAACTTGGCATAGCGAAATCAGGATCATCAAACATATCGGTAAAATCAAACGCCGCAGCACTGGAGCTATCCATGGAAGCTGAAGCATCCATGGCTGTGCAGCGCACATGCACGCTCAATTGAATTATGATTCCCAGTTTTACACATCATCCATGTGTGTATAGAGTACTATGGCCAAAGTATTATAGCAGAATATTATATTATTATGATTACAGGTTGTCCCGCTGTCCCGTTTTCAAATGCAAACATTTCTATTTATTCATTCAATTCTATTGGTGCTTTTGCCACTTGCTACTATCTAGAATCTAGAATCTAGAATCTAGAATCTAGAATCTATAATATGAAATCTAGAATCTAGAATCTAGAACCTACAATCTATAATAGTGTACTAGTGTACTATAAATATATATTATAATTAACTAGCCAGTCAGTTGACTCCAGATTTCTGCACAGGCTGTGCTTTCCAGGTGGTTTGAACAATTGTGTCTTGTGGCACTGCAACCAAAAGAAATTCACATGTTGTTGAAGCGCAAGGTTCAAATGAGCCACAGTGAATTGGATGTCAGGTGAAACAACTGGCTCACACAAGTCTTCTCTGATTGAAATTTTAGCTGCACATGCCATGTTCTGTATGTTAGTTTGGTATACAATCATTGCATTTTTAAAATAGATATTACAAGTTTACCGTTTACCTGTTTACCTGGTACATGTAATGCCGGACGCCAAAAACATTCAGTGACGCAGGCGCACACACACACACAAAAACACACACACACGCACACCAAACTAACCTGTCGAATTAATGTGCTGCCCTGCCCCCCCAAGCAGCACTAAGTAAAGACGCAAATGAAAGTTAGATGCGAGTGAAATGCGCAATAAAACACAACGTAATGCCCAATCACCTTCCCTGTTGTTTGTTAGACGGAACTGCCATGCACAAGAGACACCACACTGCCACGTCAGAAAGGAACCCCTGCCACGCACACTGCCACGTCAAAAAGAAACCCTGCCACGCACAAGACACCACACTGCCACATCAAAAAGAAACCCTGCCACGCACAAGACACCACACTGCCACATCAAAAAGAAACCTTGCCACGCACAAGACACCACACTGCCACGTCAGAAAGGAACCCCTGCCACGCACAAGACACCACACTGCCACGTCAGAAAGGAACCCCTGCCACGCACAGGACACCACACTGCCACGTCAGAAAGGAACCCCTGCCACAGCAGGCCAAGACTTTGCAACTGGAAAAAAACAATTTGAAAACCAAAAAACACTTGGTGGTAACAAAAAAACATTATAAAAAACATGTTCTGCGACCCAAAAAATCCAGAGAACAACATTTGACAGATTGAAAATGCACGTGGCAGAACAGCTCTGCCACACGTGGCAGGCCAATGCTGCCATATATGTCGGCTTCACAGCACCAATCCAGAATTGGGGAATGTCAAATTTTAAGGGTTGGTCCGTTTTTCATGGTAGAGGATCTTGCTAATGTTAGTAGCTATCAAAAATCACCATGCGATTTTCATGGGTAAATCGACTATTTCGACTGGGCCATTTTCAATAGCTTTTTGGATGTTTACCAGAGGCTACCCATGGAATACCCGGCCTGGTAAACTAAGATAATAGCGAACTGGAAAATCCACCATCTTTGACATCTTTGAGTTCGGTAAATCAACTATTTAACTATGGGCCATGTTCAAGTTCGCGAACTGTTAGTCATTACCAGAGGGAAGTGGGATATCATGGGATATCTGAGCCCAAAAGAGAGAATCTGAGGATCAAGTTCGAAGCGACTCTACTGAAATCATGGGTGATCATCGGTTATATATATATATATAATATAATGATAGTGGGCGAGATATAATGGGATGTAATACTGTATAATCAACAATTTGTCATGTTTTAGGGTACCCTAGATTTGAATTTACATAAATGGTGGTCACCGAACAACCGACACCAGAAAATGTGTTTTGTTGTGTCTGAAAATGTGGTTTAGCCCAACATGATCCAACATGGATGAAAATGGAACAATATCGCTTCACTCCTTGATGGAGTGGGGTAACCTATTTTCAGATAAACCCAAATATCTACAGCAGAATCAGCGCTATCATCTCCGATGACATTTTTCCAACGCCAGTAGCCCATTGCTAGATGGCCTTCCCAAAACAGATCGCAGTGGTGCTCAAACCAAAAACCAAACGAAACATATTACACTGCAGTCGTTGTGTAGTCAACTGGGGCCAACGATCCTTGGCAAGGACGGAACAAAAAACTATAAAATGTGAAGAGCAAGTACCCTCCTGTAAACGTTTACATAGATGTGAGAATCCATAAGTAGATCTATCATGATCTATCCTTTTGAACGGCTTTCCCCATGGGTAAACGCCACACATCTTTTCCAAGCTTTTCGTTTAGCCGGACATAGCCCAGGGCAAATGTCAGCCATGACATAGCCACAGCACCCACAGGTGGATGAACATCTAAATCGATCCAATGAATTGTCGGATTTGGTTGGCTAAATCCATCTAAATCCCTAGGTCTAGACATCAAACCTTAGATTCTCAAAAAAAAACAACATCCACAAAAACATACAAAAACAAAATCAAACGCCTTGAACATGTTCGTTCGAAAACTGCAAGTCGCAAGCGCGATGACGATTGAAACATGCAGTAGCGGCGTCCCTACTTATCAGTACCTAGCAAAACTATGAGAACCATGGATGTGCTGCGAGACTGAGATTGGTTTCTTCCTCGCATCATGGCGAACCTTATATCCCAAAAGGGTCATTTATGGCAGGATGTCAAATATTCCTCCATAACAAAGTGGCTAGGAATGGACCTCTGCTGTAAAGGACAAAAGCCCCAATCCCAATAACTAGCGTATATATACGTATATGATATAATATGATATAATGATATGTGTATGTATAATATGCACGAGGATTCCTCTACGTATTCACACTTACCTCATGTGAAGAATACGGAAGTAAGAGAGTGGTTAATAGATATCAAACAACTACCAACTCCATATTATGCGGTATCTATGTTTTGTTTCTAAAAAATAACTTCTTCTATGTCCCGTAATCCCATGATCCATTATAATGTATTGTTGCCATCATTAATATATTTTTTTCCAAGTATTGTTTGTTCCTTCTACAGCGAACCTATTACTGTAATGATGGAATAATCCTAATATGACGTGATATCACTGATAACTTATATCATGCATCTAATACAAGGGCAATGGAATATAGTTGATTTTCCCAACTATAAACCTCCATTTATATGGGATTTCCACTTGCCATGTTTGATTACCAGAGGGGGAACCACCTTGCAGGGATCATAACCATTCCATGACCATTCCACTAGATTCCTTGAAAATATCCCATTCAGCCACTTTTTTCATGGGTTACATCATGCTAAATCCCATATGAAATCACCATTTTTGATCGGTGAAACCACCAATTCATATCCCATTCATACATTTGATGCATCGTTTTGATGTTTTTTGCATCCCTTCAACGGGAACACACCGAGCCTCAGTGGACAACTGCCGGCGGAAGAGGTCCGCCACTTCGCCCCTGGCGCCAGATGCATAGCCAAGGCGATACTTTCCTGGTGGCAGAAAGGGTGGAAAACAGCACCCTTTCGCTGCAGGGGATGCTCTTGGAAAGTCACACTGAAAGTCACACCACGAATCCCCAAAATCCTTCAGGCTGGTGGTGTGTTCACGTTTTTGGGGTCCGGGGCCGGGAAAAAAGATGCGAAAATTACAAGATGCTTTTGGAAGTCGATTTTGGGCCGTTTTTAACCATGTTTTGACGATGTTTTGCTGCGAGTTTGCTGCGCTCGGGAAACAAAAACATCGTAAATACAGTGTCTTTGTCCTTTTCGCATGTAGAAACTACATCTTGCAACATGGTGAAAACTGTGTAAATACCAGTTGTTTGCTAGGCACTGGCACAAAAACACTGTCAGTACCGTGATGTTTGCTACCAGAGGCAAAAAACATCGTATATAAATACTGTGGTTTTTGGCTTCCGAGGCGCAAGAAACATCGGTATTTACGGTGTTTGTTTGCTCCAAGAGTTTCAAAAAACGTGAAAACACCACCTATTTGACGATTTTCAGCCACTGCGAGATTGAGAAAAAAAGCTACAGTATAGGGGTAACAACAACAACAACAACAACAACAACAACAACAACAACAACAACAACAACAACAACAACAACAACAACAACAGGAACAACAACAACAAGAACAAGAACAAGAACAACAAGAACAAGAACAAGAACAATAAGAAGAAGAACAAGCACAAAAATGCGACAAAAAGATGTGTGGTAAGATGGGTACAAGCTGAGATATGAACAAAAATACACTGTGCTCTGCACCTGCGCGCACGCGCAAAGCACATGCACAACACCAACGCTCACACTACTATACATAACCCTTATGGCATCGCCGGTGTGCGAAGCTCTACAATAATATATATATATATATACGTATATATAGTATATATATATATGTATATATATATATATTAACCCTCTGGTAATTTAACATAGCTGCATGGAAAATGACCCATTTATAGATGATGTACCCCATATTTTTTGTATGTTTACTAGAGGGTATACCGTAAAATATTCCCCTCAATATTAAATCCCCATGGTGTTTGTTTTTCTCCCTGTTCTTGTTGCTTACTATGATTGCATATCCCGGTATCCCTGTAATCTGGGAAACCCAATGCCACAACTACCATTTGCGGATGGTTTCAATCCCATCAAAATGGTGATGACTTGGGGATGGTTTATGGCATTGGGTTTACCACATTATTGGGATAGCATGGGGATTTTATGGGAAAATAAAGGCATGTTGGATGTTTTTGATATCAAGATTGCATTTAAATTACCATGATGTGGTTGGAAAACTCCAAATTACCAGGAGGTATATATTGTATCCTGATATCCCTGTACATCAAATCCCACGTGTAGTCCCAAGCCACGGTAGTCTGCGCGGTACTTGTCAATCTCGTTTCGTTTCGCGTCGCTCAGGTGATTGAAGAGCGGAGCGTCAATGGGCTCGCAGACCTTGATGCAGCGTGGTCCGGGGTGACTCGATTTCGTCATGGAGGGATCCCCAGTCGTCCCAGTTTCAATACGAAAAATGCACCAAAATGGATGGGTTATAATGGAAAATCCTGTTGAAATGGATGATTTGATGATTTGGGGAACCCCCACATTTGAAGGAAACCTCCATATGCGAAGCTGCACACACCTCTTTTAAGCAAGAAAAACTGATGAACTTGTTTTTTAAGTTGGTGTTGACCAAACTTAGGACGTCTGAACCAACCATATGTGGGTTTCAAGTTTCAAGCAACACAGAGATCACAGAGGGGACATGTGAACCCTCAAAAATTGGGATGTCAAAATGCTGCGAAAATTCCCAAGACTGGGACGGCTTTGCACAAAATCATGTGTCGAAGAAACATCAAAAAGCACGTGTTGAAAAAACATGAAGCATACAAGGTGGTGTCCCCCCAATTTTTTCAGTGCGTTTGGATTCTGGCAGTTGTGTTCACCAACTTAGCCTTTCAAACTGGGGCATCATTTTCATCCCCAGAAATTCAGGGATCAGCCGAGCAGCAATTTCCTTCTTGTCCAATGGGCTGGAGTCCTGTCGATCTCTGCGGATCGAAGATCATGGCATGTTTGGGAAGTCAAAAATCGTCCATAATATCACTGGATTGGTTTAAGGGAAAATCTTAACCGGAAACCATGGTTTTTACCATCAAATATAGGGCTTTCCAAATTTTCCCATAATCCAATTCTATGATAATAAAAAACACCAACCCCCATTTCGAAATTTCGAACAAGTTGCATTTTTTTCTATAGGTAGTCATGATTTTCAAGAATGAACGGCAGCTTACCAATGGTCCCTTACTATTCATTTCTTTCTACTTACCCTCTGGTTCTTTAACAGTTCGCTATGGAAGCCAGGGCCCATAAAAAAGTCGATGATGAAAATGATGATTTACCGAACTTACCCTCTGGTGAATTATACTATAGACCCTGAACATCAACATTTTTTCGTGGAAACGAATCTTCCAACCCATCAGAAACCGGAGATTGCTGAGAAATCCCCGGATTTCTATAGAGGCATTTTGCTGGATTTATGGATGACTTTCCATTGCTATGCTTGATTGCCGGAGGGTAAAAGAATTGTTTCGACTGGTCGAATGATCATTGGAGACTCCATGGATCCTGCTTCCATTTCATTCATAATGTGGTGTTTACCCAATGATAAACCTGCCATTTTGGATTGTTTATACCGCCCACAAAAATGGCAATCTTGGGATGGTAAGAATATTGGGTCTACATCAATGATGATCATTTCCCTAGGGAAACCATGGGTTTAAACCACATTGTTTTGGCATGTGGACAACCCTCTGGTAAACATACAAAAAGCTATTGAAAATGGCTATTTAGTGGATGTTCCCATTACAGATTGTGATTTTCCATGATTTTCCATGATTTTCCATCGTTTTTTGTATGTTTACCAGAGGGTACCCCAAGGTTTCTGTGTTGAGATAGCCACACATTGACTGAGGTCCACCCCAGTCCTGGATATTGGATGCCTGTTCGTAAGTCTTCGAATAGCCTTGGTCCGAGAGGCTTCCGGGAATGGAAGGCGCCTCTGTGCCAAGAAATATCCAATACCCTCTGGTAAACATACAAAAAACTATGGAAAATAACCATTTTTAATGGGAAAACTCACGATGGATTGGATTAAGGGAAAATTTACTGGTTTAAGCCCCATATTTAATGGGAAAATCTATGGTTTCCGGTTAAAATTTTCCCTTAAACCAATCCATTGAAACATCCAATATCCCCCCCTTTGTTTCGTTTGATTCTATGAATCATACTCTAAAAAGATCCGAAATATCATGTTACTGTAAATGTTATGCCATGGAATGGGCTTTATCATAATCATATCCTAAACATATCATGACCATATCATACTCACATGTATATGCAGACATACAGTACTTTGTACATAAACATACATCTGATTCATCGAAATGTACATAGTTCCAAACATTTACTGTATGTACTGTAGATTCTCCAAATACTCTTGCTGAGCGTACCCAACTTCGCAACAAAAACGCGGCAGGAAACCCAGTCGGTAGGCACGGTACTTCATGCGGTATTTCCTGAGCGGATGGAAGAAAATGGGTGTGGAGATGTGGACCCTGATGGGTCATCAAACATGGCTAGAAATCCCCTACAATCCCCTACATAAATGAAGGATATTTCATGATACCCTCTGGTAAACATACAAAAAACTATGGAAAATCACCATGCTATTCATGGGAAAACCCACTATTTCTATGGCCATTTTCAATAGCTATGTTAGTTTACCAGAGGGTATTTCATATTGATGGGAAAGTCGGCGAAATGACTGGGTTTTTTTCCAGCCATCTTTGAGCTTTCACTGACAAGAATGGCTGGAAACGGGTTTGGGGATTCAACCTGTATACCGTCGGGATATCCTGTAGGTTATAGCTGAATTACCGAAAAATGCCTATTTAAAAACGGTGATTTTCCATAGCTACGTTACCAGTTTGGGTATATATTTGGGCACTCCAAAAATGAAACGATGTATCCTAGAACGTGCCCAAAAAATTATGAATTGTTTATCCTAGAACATGCCCATCACATTCTGTGGTACCCCTTGGTCAGAATTCTTGAGCCATATTGGGATCTTGAAGAAAGGCTTAGCGGCTAGCACCTGGGAATTCTCCTGTTGTTATGCGTAAACCTTGGATGAATTGTTCATTTGAAAGACACTCCCAATCTTCGGTCAAGGGACGAACAGCATCAGCTGCAAACCAGCACCATTATCCCCACATAATCTAAAAACCATCTGAAATACCCTCTGGCAAACGTTTACATAACTATGGAAAATCACCATTTTTCATGTGTAAATCAACTATTTCCATGGCCATTTTCAATAGCAAACTGTTAGTTTATTGGAGAGTAATCCGAAATCGATACTCCCCAAGTGGTCGAATCATCTGAAATCTTGGACACGATCCAAGCACTGGACCCCGCCCAAGACACTCGATGTCCACTCTCATGGCGGGAGTTTCCGCAGTGTCCTCCACGGAAATCATCCGAGATCCAACGAAATGGCTGGGTTTTGTAGCCATGTCTGATTACGAAAACAGGTACACCCTCTGGAAATTCAACATGGAAAAAATTCCCTATCCCATCGAAATACTGTTTGGTAAGTGATTCCAGAATATTCCTATTAGTTCATGTTAGCTATTCAAAGAGTATTTCTATTACCCATAATCTAATATGATTCAAATACCTAGTTCATCCTATTTCTCCCATAGAATTCCCCAAGAAACTCCCTTTTTGGCCACGTGACCGTCCTCGCCAGCACCGGGGTTCTTCCAGAAGGCATGGAGAGGCTCTTCCAGGTTGGCCGCCATCGGCTCAAGCGGAGCAAAATCGGAGGGAAAATTGGAGAATCACCATGATTTTTTTGCATGAACATGATTGAGCATGCATGGAAATCATGGAAAGTCTCTTTTAGAATATCATGTTGATATACTATTGAAATTTAGATGCCATCCCCTTCAAGAAAATGCCTGCCTCGTTGCCTCGTTAGGCCTAAAATATGCGTGTCTTATTTCGTGGAGGCACCGCTGGTTGGCGCGGTGCCTCTTCAGATCGAGGCACAAAGCTCGAGCCAGGAGCAACGGCAAATTTTCAGGGACCAATTCAACTGGTTGGGATTATATAATAATAGTGGTTATAATATGTTATAATATGTTATAATACCAACAATAGTGCTTATATATGGTGATTAATGATGGGATATATGATCATACTGGTTGGTGGTTGAAAACCTACCCCTCTGAAACATGATGAAGTTCGTCAGTTGGATGATGACATTCCCAATTAATATGGAAAGTCATAAAAATCATGTTCCAAACCACCAACCAGAAGTGAAATTCTATGGGGGGCCATCCGTACAGATTTGATTCCACTCAGAATGGCTGAGTTTTTAAGGACATGTTTTGAACATAAAGAGTTGACATGAGTTGACTTGCTAGAATTGCTTCATCTAAAGATATCTAAAGCAAATGTTGCGGTTTGCCGTGTCTGGGTGGTAGCTCTGCGGAAACTCCCTTTCGTTTTTCCCAGTGAAACCATTTTTCACCAAGCTCAGGCCAGGCCCGTCATCTTTCCAGTAGATCACCAATTTAAGTGAAAAATCATCACCTTACCAGTATATCAATGGCCATGACTCAGGAACCGAAACAAATTGGAGGTACCTACCATATATTTTTGGCCTATGTTTCAGGCCTTTATTTCAGGGAATATCCCCACCTATATTTCAGGGCCTGAAAAATGGTACAGATTTTCTCCATTTTAGGATCCGAGAAATTTCCCATTGATAATGGGATAGTAAAGATGGTATACCAATAGCTGGTTTTTGATTTTCTCTGGTAAACATACAAAAAACTATGGAAAATCACAATTTTTCATGGATAATTCCACTATTTCCATGGCCATTTTCAATAGCAAACTGTTAGTCATTACCAATCAGCATTGTTGGTTAAGCCCCAGTTTATATGGTGAATTCCCTATAAAAATCACCAGTGGTATAATCACACCACCCCCAAAAAACGCTTTCCTTTTCGGCTTCAGCCGGCTCGGATCGCGGCCATAGCCATGCCGCGTTGTTTTCGCGCCAGGACTGCCAAGGCCAAGGAGAGGGTGACCGTGGCCTCGGCTCTCCGGGAACGAACATCGCTATGGGCTATGGAAGCCATGGCCCATTTATACATACATATGTATATATATATAATATGTATGTATATATATATGATATATATTTATATATATATATATATTTATATATATATGTATATACACAGAGTTGTACCGAACTTAAAAGTCTTAAAAGTGGTGATTTTTTATGATTTTCCACATAGCTGTGTTAGTTTACGAGTAAACCATGGCCAACTCATTGCCATGAAACCTGTGGTGAAGCCAAGGTCAGAGAGTCAAAGACCTACCATTTGGGAATGTTTTTATGGTGAATTGGGGATGGCATAAATGGCTATGAATCCCACATTCATGGAGATATCATGGGGATTTATGTGAAAATATATAGTGGCATGTGTGATGTTTTTGGTACTGGTATCTAAATTATCATTATTCGGTTGGAAAACTCTGATTGTAGCTCCTTAGCTCCCGCATGTTAGAGAATATGAATATCCATAACTCCGAATATCCATCCCTCTGCACCGCTGGAGAGTTAACCCATGAAAATTGTCGAAAATGGTCGCAGTTGTCCAACAAATAATGGTTCATTTGGATGTTCCAAGGGAGAATCGGCAGGAAACCACAGTTTGTCCGTTTGTCCCATCAAAATATAGAGGGTGCCCTGCAAATCCTCCAACTCTGGGAATTTGATAGAATCTTGATGAATTTGGTGGTTCCTCTTTCAATAACTAAATTGCAGGTGGATTGCTGGGAAACAAAAACAGGTCGAGGTCTTCAAAGCAATTGCTGTGTCTGAGACATGTTCTTGAAACCATCCACCAAACATTCCGCTAAAATGTCCTAGTTATAGGGGGCACTAGTGGACCATGGTTCAAGACTGTTTCCAACAACCCGCAGCAAGTGGCTGATTTCGGATTCATCTCTCTGACACTGGCTGATTGCCGTTCCGCCATACTGCGGGGTGAAAATTATGGGACACTGCAGAACCTCATGGTTGAAAAAATCATGTTCCCCATCAGAATACACTAAATGAACTTGCTTGTCAAACTCCTTTTTTTCCAGGACGCGTTGCATAAGAAAAGTGCGACGCCCGGGGCAATCTTTCATTTTTTCGCGGAAAGGGTTTACCGGATTTGTTCCAAAAGCTGATCCGGACATTTCTTCATAGCCATGAACTGCTGAGAATTGTTCATGTTTTGGCAGGTCACTAGACATATTCATATAATTAATAGTGACTAATATAGTGATTAGTTATATTTATATATATATATTATAGATCATTATAGTGATTAATATCCCCATGATCAATGGTTACCGCATTGCAAACCCATGACTGGTTGATTCATCCAGACATCATTCGATCTGGGATGTTTTTTTCATATATATAATTCTATATATATATTTATATATGTATGATATATATATATAATATTATAATATATATATATATTATAATATATATATAATATTATGAAATTATATATATATGACACACACACACCTGCAACACGTATTGATCTCAGCATAAGTGTTTTTTTGTTGCGGCTACTCTCACACACCATGTCTACATCTATAGTCAACTTCATTAAATCTCAATGTCAACCCCGACACTAATAAACCATGTGGATTGGTCAGAAGAATTAGATGCGTTTCCCCCAAAAACGTTCAGCATTTGTCATTGGATTGGTTTCAGGCAAAATCTTAACCAGAAACCATAGTTTTTACCATTACCATCTGGTAAACGTTTACATTACTATGGGAAGATCCACCATGTTGCATGGGTAAATCAACTATTTCTATTGCCATTTTCAATAGCAAACTCTTAGTTTCCAGTGGTATACCCTCTGGTAATTTAACATAGCTATTGAAAAATCACCATGTTCCATGGGTAAATCCTCTATAAATTGGCAATTTTCAAGTTCGCAAACTCTTAGTCATTACCAATCAGCATCAAGTTGGTTAAGCCCCAGTAAAAAATGGTGAATTCCCTATAAAAATCACCAGTGGTATACCCTCTGGTAAACATACAAAAAACTATGGAAAATCACCATTTTTTCATGGGAAAATCCACTATAAATGGTCGTTTTCAATAGCTATGTTAGTCATTACCAGAGGGTAAACCTCCATTTTCCTATGGTTTTCCTATGTTTTTCCTATGGTTAATATGGGGGTTTACTGCAAAATCTCCCGCAGACCTTTGGAGATCCGAGCGGCGCAGATCGAATACTGCAGCCATGTCCGGAATTTTGCCCTGCGAAGAATCACCGATCCAGCCTGTTATCATCACATATTTGGTGTTCTGTACACGCCTATATATATATACATAGGTATGTATCCAGTGTAGCGGGGATCGTGTCCGAATTTGACTGCGCGGGTTCGCGCGGGTTTGCGCGGGTTTGCGCGGGTTTGCGCGGGTTTGCGCGGGTTCGCGCGGGTTCGCGTTGGTTCGCGCGGATTTGCGCGGGTTTGCGCGGGTTCGCGCGGGTTCGCGCGGGTTTGCGCGGGTTTGTGCGGGTTTGCGCGCGTTCGCCCGGGTTCGTGCGGTTTCGCCCGGGTTCGCGCTGGTTTGTGCGGGTTTGATGATGATGATGATTATTATTTTCATGATTATCATGATTATCATGATGATGAGTCAATGACCACAGCAATCGGTTCCGTCTAATGTCTTACAGGCAATTGCAGAGGCGCAGGTCTGCAAAATTATCACTTATGCCAAAAAACAGTCACTATCCACAAGAGCCTGAGCAAAACCATTCCAGAAGCATTTCTTCTTGATGCTTTGGCACTTTTTGGCTAGCCGGATACACCATTCCTCCGTGAGTACTGAGGGCGGAGGCGATTTTGCCAACTGAATCATTTCCTTCAACCTATCCACCAATGACTTATCATTGAAAAGGTGAAACATGGTTTTGAAGAAGCACACCTGGTCGCAAATAACTGGAATGGTTGAGTCCTTGCCAAGTTGTTACCTCTTTGTCCTGTATCACCATGTGCAAGTATATAGTTTTTTGTAATCATGTTTTTTGGTCTGATTCATTGGTGGAAAAGACTGAATTCTCGTGGCTGTGAGCGGGCGAATTTCCAGCCACTTCGCAGTTCAGAATCATAGTACGAAACCTTGCAGCAACGCTGTCCAGGTCATGGAAGTTTTGGAAACTAGGCACCATCAGGTTTTGTTTGGAAACCAGGTCACATGGTTGTATGGTTACTTTATCTTACCACGCCGGTCAAACCCCTGAAGACCTGACCACCGACCACTGCTGCTGGAGTTGCCAGTGCTAGCACCACAGGCAGACATCACAAGGGACACCACAAGCACAAGCACCGCAGACTCGGTCCGTGTCCTCTGTGCTTGTGCTTGTGGTGTCCCTTGTGATGTCTGTGAAGAACCTCAACACGAGTGAACCCTCCTATAGGCCTTGAGATTCGCACTATCTTTGACATTGCTTGCTCAGTTGATATTTATTCATAATGACAATTTCCACAGCTGATGTTTAGAAGAACAAGATATACACACGAGATGAGGGATATGTGATCCCCACTATCCATTTATCCACGTATGTCTTTCCCAAACCAATCCATTGAGCTTCAGCTTCAGCTCAAGCTAGGATCTCCACCTGGCTGCAGCGTAGGCTTAGCTTTGTACAATCGCGATAGGAAGCGTCAGCTTTGGAATGACCAGATTCCAAAGGGATCTCATAGGATCCATGGGGGTAATCGGATAATTGGTATCATGGGTATATCATGGGTATATCATGGTATATCATGGTATATCATGGGATCCATGGGGATAAGTTACATGGATAACTAATATTATATACTAATGGCTGCCAAGGCTTGGTCAGACGCTACGACAGAGTGATGGAAGCCCGACCCGGGATTGTGCTCCATCACGCTCCACCTGTTCCTGGGAAACAATGCAACACATCCATCCATATCAATATCAATTATATATGTGGCATCTAATGCTTCATATACACATATATGATTATATATACATATATATCATTATATAAATATATATATATGTATTGTCATTATTATGTTTATTCTTCAACGTAACTTCAAAAATCTTCCATACTATTACCTTCTTGAGTTTCTGGGCATCAAACCATGATGTCAATTGCTGTCTTGCAAATTGGGCACTGCTTGTCCAGCACCAAATGCCAGCAGAATGGAATCAGCGGCCTGCAACGAAGCCTCTCCACCTGAGGGAAAGGTGGACATCACCGTGAAAAACACGTGAAACGAATAAAATGATGCTGATGATGATGATGATTTTGATGATGATGATGATGATGATGATGATGCTGGTGGTGGTGGTGGTGGCGGTGGTGGTGGTGGTGATGGGATGGTGGCGGTGATGGTGATGGTGGCGGCGGTGGTGGTGGTGGAAAACGATGAGGACGATGATGATGTGGCGACGACAATGATGACAATGATGACGTCAATGACGATGACGATGACGATGAGTGAGGATGACGATGAGGACGAGGATGATGGTGGTGGTGGTGTGGTGGTTGGTGGGTGGACTTTTGGACAAGGGCCACAAGTGTAGAGCATTGAGTAGAAACCTGGTGCTCCAGGGATGACAGTGTACAGGCACAACAAAAGATCAAAAAGGACGAGCAAAGACAAAGAGAGTCGCAACACCAACCCTCTTGCGAAGAAAAAGAGCACATCAAGTCATATTAAGTCCCTGGCTGCTGCGGAAGATAATGCTTTGCTCAACAGATCCAACACCCGATAGCTTCATGGGCAGAACCTGTCATGAAGGATAAGCGATTGAGCCTTGCCTAAAAGCAATTCTGTTCTTTCAACAGTGACAAGCACAGAGTTCAGACATACTGCTGGTCATTCGTTGAAGGGAAATTCGCCAGTGTCACCGGCCTTGTTACTGGTGAAGTCAATGGAGAGGCGGTTCTCGAAGCTCGCAGGTGTGTCCGCCTCTATGGAACATGATTTCCCAGGTTCCCAGAGTTTGATCTCACTTGATGTCTAGAAAAAGTCACTTGATGTCCTAGGATATGACAACTTGATGCTAGGCAGCTGATGAGGTCCACACAGCTCGTTGAAAGTTTCCTGCGCTGCAGCATACTCTGAGCGGAGGTAATTGGAAACCTGGAGCAGGAGCTCAAGCTCAAGGTGCTTCAGAGTCAAACAAAGAGCAAACGACGAGGCGGGGTTGTAGGGCCGACAAATTTTTCGTAATCTCCGGCCCGGACAAGAAAAATAAAACGACCCGACAAATAAAGTCGGAATGGTGCCGACGAAAAGGGGCTGTAATTTTTGGGTCTCATATCATTCTCGTGTGCACCTTTTTGAAGAGTTGGCCGCGCCCTGCATCTGCTTTGAGATGGGACGTGCCCGGCATCTGCTCACAACTAGTAGAAGTGGGTCCCAGCTCTCATGGATCATCAGCCTATGATGTGAACCCTGCTTCAACTGTATGCTCGATCAACTGCGACCTGATTGTTAAACAAAACAAACATACGCATCGCAGATAGGAAAAATCACCACATAATTTCCTAAGCTGGCATATGAGCAGATTCCTCGCCCTAATCAGCATATTCCTCGCGTTTGCGCCGACCCTGGAGCATGTTGGTCTGGGCCTGAGTGTTGGTGAGATTCCTCTTACGTGAGGTGTACTTGAAGTCGGCTCTTCCAGGAGTATGCTCATATTTGAGGCTGAAGCCATCCTTTTGCACCAAAAGCCGTTGCTGTTGGGAATGCTTTAGGCAAGCTTCGTTGAAGAGAACGGCAGTGCTAAGGCTTGCTGCTTGTCTTTTGGGCAGATCCAATGAGCAGTTCTCTGCCACTTCCGTCATGCCATCAATGAAGAGACTCATCATAGCGCCTGTGATGGCTGTATCCTGAACAGTTGCCTCAACCCAAGCCCAGCGTTCTGAATCCCAAGACCACAGCTTGATTTTCCCGTCCCCTAAAACTTCTACTTGGGTCAAGCCCGACCAAGTCAGGTGCTTCTTGGTCTTTGTGCGCCAAAATGATGGGCACAGAATGTCAGGGACAATGCCCAGCTGCTGGAAGGCGGTCTGTAATGCTTGGCCGTGCCCAGCATCGCGAGCTTGCAATACCTGGACAACTCTTTGAATGAAGCGGCCAACATGTCCTTCGGCTTGCCGAAGCTCACTCAAAAGCAAATCAGCCATCGGAACTGCTGGCGCAGGCTTGCTTGCTGCGGCTAGCCGATCTTTGATATCAGCTTTGGCCCAGTCAGGTTCTGCGTCGGCCCAAACGCCACGCAACTCATTGTCCACTGCTTCATCCTTGTTCGCAGTTGGCCGTGTATGCTGTTCCTCTTCATGGCTCGCAGTAGCTGGCTCCTGCAGGTGTTTCTCTTCAAAATGCTTGCGCAGACTTTCCACGTTTGAGAAATGAATCGGTTTTCGGCTAGCGTTCTTGCAATGTTTGCAACCCACCCATCCCTGGCTTGTTGGGTGCTCACGGAGACCAAGCACAAAGAGCTGCATGATCTCTCGGGTGCCCAGACCTTGGTACCAGCTTGAGCTTTCGAGAAGCTGAATCAATCCGGTGCACTCATCCGCTGTTGGCAACTCAGTATCCAAAGGCATTACCTCGGCAGCTCCCGTAGATACGGCTGCTGGAGAACTGCTCTGGCCCGTGCTCTCATCCAGCTTGGCTGCAATGGACTGGGCCGTGCCCTGATCCAATTGTGCAGCCTCAGCAGCAGCATTGATCACCTGCACCTGGAGGTCGGAACTCTTGAAGCCATGCTGCCACTTCCATGCCCTGGTGGCAGCAAACAAAGTGGTCCCAGCATACATCATGTGGCCATCAACATGAAACCGGTTGCCTGCTGAGTCTGCAAAATTGTTCATTTTTCTCTCCTTGGTCTCGTGCATCAAGTAGATGGGTCCATACTGACTGCACTGACTCCAACCGGGTTGGGGTTCCCTGCCCAGGTCCTCTGTGAGCAAAGCAAACAGGTGCTTACAGAACCGCATGTACCCCGTTCCAGTCAACTCTTGCGAGGTTGTCTGCATGCAGTGCTTGATGGCTCGGAGGAGCAAAGGGTGGTTTTTCGGACAATTCAAAATGATGCCCTGGAAGATATGATCTTTGTCTCTTCCAATTGCCATGATGAGGGGCTGGGCCGTGCCCTGTCCCCTGTGCTGGGCCGTGCCCTGCACAGCCAGCTGGGCCGTGCCCTGCTGGCTAATGGCATCCATGGTTTCATTCCAGGGGCGATAGAGCGCGCACTTTATGTCCAAGTAATGGCCACCCTCAAGAAA